CAACCCGCGCCCGAAGGGCCAGGCCCTCGGCCGCATCGCCCCCGTGTCTCGCCCTGGCTGCATCATCTCGGCTGCGTCAGGCCTCGAGGTGCTGCGACCGCACTGCGCGACACCCGCCCTCCCCTCCCCTCCCCGCCCGCAGGTCTTTGACCTCAAGAAGCTCAACTGGATCAACGGCCAGCACCTGCGCGCGCTGGCCGAGGAGGAGCGCGCCGCGCTTGTCGGGCGCCACCTCGCCGAGGCGGGCGTCGCGATGGCGGCGGACTCGCCCTTCTCGCTCTCCGCCTCGCGGATGGTCGCCGAGAAGATCGAGGCGCGCCCACTCTCGCACCCCTCACTCTCGCACCCTCACTCCCTCGCCCTCGCGCCTCTCGCCCTCGCGAAGACCACGCCCCCCCGCCCCCCCTCTCCTGCCACCCCTCGCCCTCGCTCCATCCGGCCCTCACGCTCTACCCGCCGCCCTCGCAGCTCGTCAACGACGCCTCGCCGCTCGTGCGCGACGCGCTCGCCTACCCGCTCGCGGACTCGCTCGCTTCCAGCGGCGCGCAGAAGCTGGCCGACGAGCTGCGCCGGGTGGGCGGCGCGCTCGTCGCGGCGCACCGCGAGGGCGTCCTCCCCGACGGCGCCTCGCCCGACTTCGAGGCGGAGTGGAAGAGCGCCGTCAAGTCGTTCGGCAAGGAGCTCGGCCTCAAGGGGAAGAGCCTCTTCATGCCGCTCCGCCTCGCCGTCACGGGTCGCATGGCGGGGCCCGACGTGGGCGCGCAGCTGCAGCTCCTCGCCCTCGCGCCCGACGGCGCCAAGTGCGAGAGCGTGCCGCTCGACGCGCGCATGGCGCAGCTCGAGGCGGCGCTCGCAGACATGCCCGTCCCTGTCGAGGCCTGAAGGGGAGGTATGGCGCTGAGATCACGGTATACGTCAGTAGCTAGCACAATGGGGGGACGAAGGGTTGAGAAGGGAGTGCCGGGCGGGATGTGGTCTTTTGGTGTGGCGTTCAACGTCAAGTTGGGCGCGAAGATACGGGGCACTCGCTTGCTTTTTTTTCGCTCCAGTCCTGCGGATCTTCAGTAGTAGACCGGAGGGCTACGAAGGGACTTCACACTCCACAAGGGGCTGGATACGTCAGTACGGGGGAAGGACCGTGAGTTGACGGAAATCGGGGGACGCGACCCACCTCGCCACAGACGTTCCCGCGCCTCGCCGCTAAGACGGGTACACGACCGCGGCTCGTGTGCGTGTACCCGTCTTTGTCCGGAGTGAAACGTCCAACGCGCTCGTCGGTGGCGGCTTCCCCCAACATGCGCCGCGCTCGGCGAACCTCGACAGCGCCTTCGGTGGCATGCAGCTCTTTGCGACAGAAGCCTGGAGAGCAGCTTCTCTGCTGCTCACACGCTCTGCACAGTTGGCACAGCCCACTGTGCGGCTGCCACCAGCTGTCACAGCGATGGGCTCGCCCTCACTGGCCCTCAGTCACTTGTGCTCTGCGGCTTGTGTGAGCGACACTGCTCGGCGACTGCCGGCACACTGTGAGACCATGGGTGTGAGGTCAAACCACGCTACCAGCGCTTGGTCACATCTCGGCCCCGAGGTCAGATCCATCTACTCTGTTGATGACAAGACTTGTCTACTGGCTGGAGCCGAGCAGGAGGGCCTGGCGCACAGCCCCTGGGGTCAACTGAGGGGGTCTTTCCCCTTTATTACAACACAGTTGACACTACAATCTACAATCGCTATTAAGGCATATCCACATAAGACATCTGAGATCTGAGACATAGGCATGGACATGGGTCATGGCTCGCGCATGGGACTGAGTGTTGGGACGACGCCAGTCGCCACATACAGATTACAGTCACAGCGACGACACACACACGAGACTCACACACACCAGGTCACAGCTGTTTCCGCTCACAATCAATTGTGGAGTGTGCCTCTCGCCTGAAGCGTCAAGGCCCTTGCGCGCGCGACCCTGGCGCGACCGCGCCGCGCGAGCTGGGGGAGATCACGTCCCACACTCACTCTTCCAGCTCTCTCTGCACAGTTGTCCCATTTCCCGACCGTGAACCGAGGCCCCGTCCGTCGACCGTGCGTCGCCAGCCCCAAGCTTCACACTAGCTAAGGCCGCGTCTACGGTGAGACGCCGTGCCGCTTGGAGGCTGGGACGACAGGCCCACCCTTCTTGACGCCGCGCGACGTCGAGAGGCATTTGCCGTCTGGATCGAACTCGGCACACGACCCTCCTGGCTGACGGTATTTCATCCCAGTGTCCGCCACGACCGCCTTCTTCCAGGCCTCGTCGGCCTCAGACGCCTTCTTGGTGCCCTCAAAGAGATAATTGTAGCCCTCGTCGCCCTCCTTGCCCGGCAGCCGCGTGTAGCCGTCGGCGTACGCAGCGAGCAAGGTCTGCCACAGATAATCCCAGTAATCGACCGCCATCGCGCCCATGTCGATGGTGGCCTTGTCCATGTGCGTCTGCGCCTCTTCCTCGGTCATGGCCACAAACTTCTCATCCATCGATTTCAGCATCCCCTCGGCATAGTCGTTGAACTTCTTGCGCGCATCCAGCACGTCCTCGCTCACGTGACTCTGCATCGAGTAGACCAAGTTGCTCACCTATTCACGTGATGTGAGGTCGCACCGGCCGTTGCCCTCCTCCAGCGAGCAGTCCGGCTCTGCTAACCGCAGTGACCTTCCAGTGTATCGAGTCGGGTGCGTACTTGATCTCCGAGCCTCAAGGGGCGGGGAAGGGCTGGGGCGTCAGGTCAATTTGTCGAGCCGGAGGGGAGGGAGAGGGGCGTGCGGCGCGCCGGGATAGTTGAAGTAGGCGCGGCATGACGCCCTCGCGCTGCAATTGCCGTCGTCGTGCGACAGCGCCACCTTTGTTGCGCCGCCGTAGAGTGGGATCTTTGGCGACCTAGAGGAGCAGCGCCTCCATCTTTGACCCCCTGTGGCATATTACAATATATTTGTCGGCCAGCCGCCCTCACCACTTGTGCTGCTTGGCGCCCCACCACGTGACAGACCTCATCTTGGGCGGGAAGCAGTCCGCCCCTGCGTAGCGGGAATTCGTTGGCGTGTCCCACGGCGCAGGCATCGCTTCCTGTCCCTGGAAGGATGCAGGACCAGCTGGTGTGGTGGAGTTGGTGTTGGTGGTGTGGTGGTGAGAGGGGGGGCGGGGGAGGGCGGGGGGGCATGTCCATGTGCTGCCTTGATCGGTGCGAGGACGCCGTCGACGTAACCTTTCATGAAGTCCATTACGACGTCCCAATCAGGTTGCTCAAGGGCCTGGCGCGGGATCAGTGGTTTGGGCAAGGAGACTGCGAAGGCGCTCCGGCGCTGCGCGGCGCAGACACCTGGCACCGCTTCGAGTTGCGCACCTCAGAGACGAAGTGCCACGCCGTGTAAAAGGTGCCGACGGGTCGCTCGTTGATGTACGACTCGCCCTCAGACGTCCAAGAGAGCCCCGCGCCAAGCCGCTGCGGGGTGCGGAAGATACCTGCGGCGGGTGTCGCAGGCTTCCCTCGGGACGCAAAACAGGTTGTTGCGAAAGGCGTGGCCGGGACTGCTGCAGGCGTGTGATTGCCGCACCGGCGCCGATGTCGACCGCCGGGTCGAGCCAGGTACCCTCGTACGTGAGGCTGAGCAGGTCATGCACGTCCAGCCGCGAGATTGGCTTCTTGACGCGCACGAATTCGGGCATCCGGTTGGCGAGATCGTAGCCTTTCGCGTAGCCGAGGTAGGCGGCGGAGTCGAAATCGTCAGGGTGAGCGACCTTCGAGAATATGTTCCACACGCGTGCCTGCGACAGGGACCTGACGGGCTTGGATGGCGCGCGGCAAGGGAGGAGGAAGGAAGCGGACAGGGGCTCGCGCCTCGCAGTAGCGCGCCCCACCAAAGTCCACCGGGCAGAAGACGTCGGAGAACGAGAAGGGGCCGTCCTTGGGGTCGTAAAGGCCCTGTTCGAGCGCGAATTCCTCTGGGTCCAGATTCCTTTTTGCTGCGTCAAATCTGGTCCCGTCCCCTGCGTTGCTCGAAACCATGCAGTCGAGGTCAGGGTCCAGCACATAATCGTATGTCTTCGACCCCGGGGCCGAGTAAGTCATCTTGCCATCAAAGGGGTCGCCAGAGGCAGTCGCCAGATCCTCCACCAAAGGTGGACCATGGGCGAACCCTCCTTGATTCGAAAAGACAAAGCGCAGGCAGCCATTCTTGTACCAATGTCCCACCTCGGAATACATCTCGGAACATTCCAATTCACCTTCTTCGTTCGAATGACAGTTTTTGTACTTGAGTTTTTTTGGGTTGCCCTCGTACCCTGTCGGCGAACGGATCTCGCCGAGCCGCGCCTGGTTCGCGTGTGCGTAGATGGTCCCGGGAGGGAGCCGCTTGGCGAGCCATAGGGTGCCCTTCTCGATCTCGCCCTTGCCAATCATCTCGAGGATCCTGGAGGCGCGGATCAGCGTTTCAGGGGCGCAGCGTGGGGGTGGGGGTGCAGGGCTGCAGGCCGACACGAACCAAATCTCGACGCCGTCTGTGATGGAGAAGCCCTCCATCGCGGAGGAGTACCCGTACTTCTGGGTGAGACTCGTGATGACACCGATCGCATCCCGGGCCGTCCTGCTGCGCTGGAGCGCGGTGTATATGAGAGAGCCGTAATCCATAGTATGGCCGACGCCGTCGTTTTGCGTCTTCAGGTCGGTGTCAAGCAGACTAAGCCCACCGTGAGTCGTCTCGGCGATGACCACTCCCTGAGGCACACGGTTCAAAGCTCAGCGTGAAGGGTTGGAAAGGGATCGGTCGATACTCAAGAGTGCTGGCACCGCACCCACTCGTTGGAGTTGGAGATGACATTGTAAGTTGGTTTCTCGTCGGGGATGTACCCAGAGAAGTTGCCGTTGTCGTACAAGTAAATGGGTCGCTGCCTGCCCTCCTCGCCGGGCTGCGCTGGGAAGCGGGTGATGGCAGCGTAGCGGTTTGAGGAGTCGTCGTTGTAGCCGAGGAGGATGTTGCCCGAGGCGGAGGCCTCCTGAGTCACGAGCACGTTTGTGCACGCCAGAGTAGGGGCCGCGACGCTCAAGAGCCGCAGGCTGGCATACACGCGTGCCATCGCCGATACGACGGCCCCGAAATCGTGCGACGCATCACGCAAAGTTACGCAACGTCCAACGAGCAACGAAACGGTGTCCTGAGCCTTGGTCTGACAGCCTGACAGCAAACCCCGGACAGCGCCTGACAGTGCCCGACAGCCTGACAGCGCTGACAGCACTTTCTCCGACAATCTGACAGCACGTATCTGACAGCCTGACAGCAGAGTCTGACAGGCGAGGCCGAGGGGGGTCCCGTCGCTGTCAGGCCCTAACGTGACAGGGCTGACAGCTGCCCGACAGCCCGACAGCACACAGTGGCCTGACAGCAGCGCTGACAGCCCGACAGCAGCACAGACCGTACACAGACCCCGTAGAGCCTCTTTCTTGTGCCCCATGAGGGTATAACAAAATTACATGCAAAGACATGTGAGTGTGGTCCATGTCCATGTAGTCATGGCACATGGGATGGTCCGATGGGTCTCTCTCTCAACCCTCCCGCCCCACCTCTGCGGACCCCTCTCTAGCACCGGCGGCTGTGCTACTACAAATGAAGCTACCAGCTAGCCTTCTGGGGCCCTACAGTCATATGCCTACGGCGTCTGGGTGGGGGTAGCCGCCGCCGTCTGTGCCGCCGCCGCCGCCTGCGCCTGCGCCGCCATATGCGCTCCCCAGGCGGCCGCCGCCGCCGGCGTGATCACGCCGTGTAGGAGGAGAGGCGCTGAGAGTATGTGTAGTAGAGTCCTGCTGGTCTCCTCTTGATAGTGTCATAAGTGTGGCTGGTGTGTGTCAGAGCCTGACAGCACCCCGACAGCACCACCTGACAGCACCTGACAGCAACAGCCCAACGTCTGACAGCAGCAGCAGCCTGACAGCTCCGACAGCTCCGACAGCGTCTGACAGCGTCTGACAGCAGCACCCGACAGCTCTGACAGCACCCGACAGCTACAGCCGATCCCCTCGCCTGTCAGACACGCACCCGACAGCACCCGACAGCACTGACAGCACCTGACAGCTGGTCTGACAGAGGCACCTGACAGTGCCTGACAGCTGCCCGACAGCCCGTCAGATCACCTGTGACCTGACAGCACCTGACAGCCTGACAGGCCAGGGCTCAGCCTCAGGGGCGCGGTGTCAGTGTATACAGTGATGACCCGCCGCGGCGTTCCGAGCTTCGGAACGGCGGCTGGCGCGTGGCGGTGGGGTGCCCGGTGGCGCGGCGCGCGGCTTCGGCCTTCGCGCCCCCCACAGACGACACAGACCACAGTGCAGAGCCGAGCACTGGCCACTGGCACTGCAGTCGTGTCCGGCGGGGGGGGGGGGGGGGGCTGCGCGCTGCGCCTGCAGCGCCGCTCACGACAAACCTCCGGCTCCGCGCACGTTAGACACAGCACACACGTTTTTCAAACCTTTCGTTTCACGAGACACACGATTTGGCGTTGGCCGCGCGGAATAACGCGCGTGGCGTACAAAAGCATTCAAAACATTAAAACGAACCGACCACGGGGACGAGCGCTCGTCGAACGGGGGCTGGGGCCCAGCAGCACACTTCAAGACACCGCCCTTGGCACAGACGCGCGCATAGAGAAAAGAGCCATGTGCACCCCCCAGCCCGCGCCGCGGACGCCGCGCGTGCGTGGCGGTGGCGTGATGACCGAGGCCGCCGCCCCGCCGTTCAGCCAGCCCCGCCCCTGCCCGCCGAGCGCTCTCAGTGGCGGGCCTAGCTGGCGTGGCCGACGGCAATCTTCTCGAGCGGCTTGAAGACATACGGCACGGGCGTGAGCGTGTGGACCTTCTCACCGAAGGTCTTGCTCAGGTCGAGCAGGAAGCCCTCGCGGGGGCCCTTGGGCTGCCGCTTGAGCTCCGAGGCGGGGCAGGGCGTGCCCGACGCCTTGGCAGCGCGCTTCTTCTCCTCGTTCAGCTTGACCCGGTCCAGGTGGCCGAGCCGCGACTTGGAGGGCCGCAGGTGCTCGACGCGCACGTGGATGCGCTTGACGAGCTGTTTTTGCCGGTGCACCTTGTTCACCTCGACGCCGATGGCGCGGCGCGTCACGTTCCACACAGTGCCGGTGCGGCCGTGGTAGAACTTGTGCGGCATGCCCTTCTGCTGGCCAGAGTTGCACACAACATCGACGGTGTCGCCAATCTTGTACTGCCGCAAGAAGGTGGTGAGCGGCGGGTTGCCGCCCTTGTCCTTGGGCTTCTTTGAGAAGAGGTCGCGCGTGTGGGCGCGGTAGCCCATAGGCCGGGCGCCCTTTCCATAACCCATGGCGGCCGGACGAGCAGCGGCGACGGAGACAGAACCGCCTGCGCAGGGGACAGCAGGCGCGCAAGGGTCGGCACGACGGTGCGGCGCGCGACAGGCAGCAAGGGGGCGACTCTGCGCAGGGGACGTGCGCAGCAGGCGCAGCCAGCGGCGAGGGGTGGCACGCGCGCAGCGAGGCGACGCGAGCCGGCGTCCCGCGGGACGGGACGGCAGAGCGCGCGAGTCCCAGTGCCGCGCGTGCTGCTACGGCGAAGCAGGCGTGCAGGCGATGCAGCTACACGCGCTGTGCTACCTCGTGCGCCACACGACAGGCGGCGAATTCTTTTCTCAAGGAAGCGGGCCGCCGCGCGAGACGGCAGGGAGCGGCGCAGCGCCAGTACGTGTCGCGCACTTGCCGCGAGCAAAGTCCTGCTGTGGGACCGTAGACCACCGCGAGGAACGGGTGGGCCGAAGCCAGGCGAGCAAAAGACCTCAAGAAAAGAATTCAGTGGCGTTGCTGAGGTGTCCAGTCCGAGCTGTTCTTCACCTTCGATAGTATACATCCAACTGTGTCCCGCCTTGTATCTCCCGCTATCCTGCAAACACACGAACTCTACAGAGAACATGCTACTAGTGACGTCCACTTTACTAAGGGCAACCAACACAACCAGGTGTCCCCGGCGGAGTGGCCGTCAAAGTGCACGCGTCGCGGCGCGCGTCGGGGCACGGGCGCGGGGGCGCGCTGCTGTAACCACTCTCGCGAGACCCCCGGACAGTCGAAACGGGAGAGCGGAGAGGAGAACTCTCGCAATGAAATCGATTTGGTAATCTAATCAAGTGCCGCGTTCGACGGGCCATGGCCCATGGGCTGCCATCCCTTGGGTTCGCGGCCTTCTGTTCTTACTTTTTACAAAAAGAAACTCTCACCGGCTCTGCTACCACCGCGGGCGGCCCTGCTGCTGCTGCTGCCGCCGCTGCTGCGCCTGCTGCCCGATGGACTCGACGGTGTGGCCCTCGTCCCACAGCTTGCGCTTGAAGGGGTCCGTGAGGATCTCGAGCGCCTCCCCGAGCTTCTTGAAGTGCGCCTCGGCCTCCGCCCTCTGCTCCGCCGACTCTTCGGCGTGCTTGTCCGGGTGCCACTCGAGCGCCGCGCGCTTGTACGCCGCGCGAACCTCCTTCTCCGACGCCTTGCTGCCCACGCCCGTGACGCCCAGCAACGCGTAGAGGTCGTCGCGCTCCGACTTTTTGACCAGAAACTGCGCCTCGACCACCTTTTGCAGCACGGCCTGGTCGCTGCGGCGCGACGGCTCCGAGTTGACGCACTGCTCCATCGTCGCCAGCGCCTCGCGCCAGCGCTCGAGCGCCTGCAGCGCCTCCGCCTTGAGCAAGTACGGCGCGAGGAGCGTCGGCTCGGCGTAGATGGCGCGGCCGGCCTCCTGGATGCAGCGTCTCCAGCAGGCGGGCGCGGCGGCCCGCGGGTCGGAATCGCCCTCGGGCGGCGCCGCCTCGTCCGCCGCCAGCTCGCGCAGCGATCCGCCCCCCCCTCCGCCGCCGCCGCCGCCCAGCTTGGCCGCCGCCGCGTCCTCGCGCTCGCGTCGCGTCTCGCCGCGCGCCCGCGAGCGCGCAAGGAGCTGGTACGCTTTCGCGCGGTCCGCGTAGAAGCCGGCGGCCAGCCTCTTGTCGTCGCTGTCCAAGCGCAGCCCCTCGGCGCAGAGCGCGGCCGCCGCCTCGAAGCGGCGCAGACGGAACGCCTCCTGCAGCTCCTCGCGTACCCGCGCGTGCCCGGCCGCCTTGCGCTTGAGCCGTCGCAGCGCCGCCGCCGCCGCCTGGGGCCGGAGGCGCGGCTGGGGTGAGCGGCCGAGGGGACGGGCGAGCGGGCGCTGCTCCCGCCGGCCGCCTCGTTGTCCGGGTCGCGTTGTAGCCCGTCCCGAAGCAGCCTCATCGCCTTCTCCGCCAGCCCCATGCCGACCAGCGCGTCTGCGCGCAGCGTGTACGCGTCGAGCGTGTCCGCGTCCAGCGCGATCGCCTTTTGCGCCTCGCGCGCCGCCTCGACATGCTCTCCGAGGGACAGGTGCGCTCGCGCGAGCAGCAGCCACACCTCCGGGTCCTCGCTCACCCCGCCGCCAGCCACCTCGAGCGCGCAGCGCTTCGCCTTGCCGAATGCGCCCTCCTCCAGCGCCTGCCTGCCGACGGCGAGGCTGGCCTGCAGCCCCTTGACGCTCCTCAGCTGCGCGCCGAGCGCCTCCGCGTGCTCGCCGCCCCGCAGCGCCCCTTGCTGCAGCACATCCGCCGCGCGGTCGAGCTTGCCGAGCCGCGTGAGAGCCGTCGCCTGCCGGCCGCGCAGCTTGCCCAGCTCCGAGCCCGCCTCGTGCCGCAGCCCCTCCGAGCAGTCGGCCACAGCCCGCTCGTACTTTCCGAGCATCATCCAGCACGCCGCGCGGTTGCCGTGCAGCGCGCCGTTCCTCGGCTCCGCACCGACCGCCTGCGAGTAGAGCCGCAGCGCCTCGGCGTACTGGCCAGCCTTGTACAGCGCGTTGCCCTGCTCTCGCAGCGCCGCGGCTGTGCCCGTGCCCGCACCGGAGCTCTCGCCGCCGCTGCACACACTGCCACTGCCGCCGCCGCCGCCGCCGCCGCCGCCGCCGCCGCCGCCGGACTGCTGCATGATGGCTTGCAGCAGCTCCTGCGCTACATGGAGACGGGTCAGCGGAGCACTGGGGCCGGGGCACTGGGGATGGGGCTGCGCCGACCTGCAGAGGCGCGCACGCGGCGTTCTGCCCCGCCTCTTGCAGCGTGGCCATGCCGCGCTGCACCGCCTCCCTGGCCTCGCCGAGCTGCCGCTGCTGCAGCAGCACCTTCCCGAGGTGGAGGTGCGCCTTGACGAAGCACGGGTCCGCCCGGATGGCCTGCCGCGCGTCCGCCGCAGCCTCGCGCCACATCCGCTTCGCCTGGTGGAGAGCGGATCGGTTCGAGAGGTAGACCGCCGACGCGGCGCCGTCGAGGTCGATGGCCAGGGAGTAGAGCTCGATCGCCTGGTCGTTCTGCGAAGCCTTGAAGCACGCGTTCCCGCGCTCCTTGAGCTCGCCGAGCAGCGTCGCTCTCAGCGCGACGAGGTCCGCCTACGCGCGCGTCGTGGACGTGTCGTGGGCGGGTCCGCGGCAGAGCGCGGCGGCGGCGCAGAGTGAGCCGACGTTCTCTGCGCGGAGCGCCAGCGGAGCGGCCTGCAGCACACGCGCCGCCTCCCTCGCCTCGCCGAGGCGGAGCAGCGACTTGATTTGGAAGGAGTACGCCTTGGGCGAGTTCACGTCCAGCGCCGCAGCCGCCCTCGCGTCGGCGACCGCCAGCCTCCACTGCTCCTTGGCCTGGTGGCACGCGCTCCGGTTGCACAGGTAGACTGGGTTGCGGCGGTCGACGGCAATCGCGTCCGTGTAGCAGCGGATCGCGGCGTCGTAGTGCCGCTTGCGGTAGTGGTCGTTGCCAGCGAGCCTGTGTCGCTCAGCCACTGTGGCGACGCGAGCAGACAGCGCCGCGGGAAGCTTCTGCACCTGCTCGCTCAGGGCCGCCGACGCCTGCACTAGCGCCTTGCGCTGCGCACGCAGCCCGTGATCGTCGCCGACGGCGACGGCGTCCACCCGGCTCTGCAGCGTGCTCACATGGCCGTCGAGCGTCGGGATCTGGGTGCCGGCCTCTCTGAGGGCAGCGGCATCCGCACGCTCCTCGTCCAAGAGCAGCGCCGTGAGCGCGTCGTGCTCGAGCTGCAGCGTTTCGAGCCGGGTGGTGAGCTGGTCCATCCCGACCCGACGAGAGGACCCGCCCGGGTCGTTGGCGGCCATCCACGCCTTGGCGTTGAAGGAAGGCGCGGGAGCGGTCATGGGAAGTGGCACCGCAGGATTTTCTGGAGCCGGTGTGTGTGCCAGTGCGCGCCAGTCTGCGCCCTTGTCGTGCCCAGCCAGAGTGCTGTGAAACTCGCAACAGCTCTCGCGCGCCGCCGTCAGTGGCGATGCGCAAAACATCAACAACGCTGCTCGCAACATGCGTGTCGCGCACTCATTCATGACCGGTCTCAATGCCCCACCCCCCTGCGCGCGGGCCTTCTAAGCCCGCGGGTAGTGGTCCCCCCCCATCCCCAGGGCCTCCAGGGCTCGCACCTCAACCTCTCACAGGCCAGCGCACAGCGCCATAGGAGGTATTTTCTTCTCAATAACAAGGCTGTGAAGAGGCTTGTATTTTAAGAATTCGTGCGTCTTGCGCTGCGCGCGCGAGAATCCAAAAGCCGGCACACGAGACACGACTCCCAAGCGCGAAAACAGTGATAAGCTAGGCAGGTCGCTAGACTGAGATGAGACCTAACTAACTAACTAAACCGCCTGTGGAGTTGGGAGTCCATTGGGCTAAAGAAAAAGAAAAAAATCGTCCTCAGCACTTTGCGTTTCCGGAAATTTCCAGGGAAAACAGAGGGTGTTTGGTGCTCCATTCTGGAAACTCGCGAGTTTCCCTGAGTCTGAGAGAGATTTTTATAAACCAACAAGAAATCACGACTCTCACAGTGATTTGGGCTCGGCAGCTTGTCTTCTTGAGTCTGAGAGCTGGTCTGGGGCAAAATCGGAGGCAAAACTGAGGAAAATCGACAAAATACCCAGGCGGTCGCAGGGTAATTTCCAGGTATACACGGGTTCTCCGCAAAATTCCCGGCATTTTGCCGATTTGGCCTAAAATTTGGCTGATTTTGGGCCCAAACCAGCCTCAGACTCGGCTCAGTCCTCAGAGCCCAAAATTTGACGATTTCCACGGAGTTTTCCCAGGAAAATGGAATCTTGTGAAAAAAGGAAACGAAAACAGACGTGGTGCGAGAGGCAAACCTCGGACAGCCCAACCAAGCGCCAAGGAGTCCACCGTGGCACCCTAGGTGGCACCGCGCTGCGAGCCTGTCGTGTCCCTTCCCTTGTCAGGAGCAGGAGAGCCCCTTTCTCTCCCACCTGTGCCCCTGATCGTCCTTCCAAAATCCTGCTCGCGTGCAGGTGTGGACCCTGTCCTCCTCCCCATCCCTCCGCTCGTTTGGCTCTCTCTGTTTTCTTTCTTTTAGCGCAAAAATACGGCTCGATAACTTCAGTGTTTTACTTTTAGCTTTCTGGGAGAAAAGGGAGAGGGGGTTGTGTTTTCTAGGCCCCCTCTCTCTCTCTCAGTGTATGTAGCTCTTACGTTACAAAAGAAAGAAAGAAATAAAACAGGACAACCAAACGAGGGATGGGGGAGGAGGACAGGGTCCCCACCTGCACGAGCAATAAATAAAACGGACAAACCAAACAAGGGGTGGGAGAAGGACAGGGTCCCCACCTGCGCGAGCAGGATTTTGGAAGGACGATCAGGGACACAGGGAACGGGAGCGGGAAGCGCATCGCGACACGGAGGGGGGCTGGGCAGGGTTCACCCACACGACAGGGTCCCAGCCAGGGATCCCCCTCTCGTATAGGACAAGTTGCACCCGGCGGCACAGGGGCAGGCAGGCGCGGGCCTCCTACTGGTTGCACTCTCCTAGTTCTCCTGCTACTGACAAAAGGGACAGCGACAGGTTCGCAGCACAGTGGAGTCCCTATTTACCTGCACGAGCAGAAAAGAAAGAAAACAGACAACCCAAACGTACATTCCCGCAAATGGTTTGTTTTTAAGAGAAGAAAACCCCTCCTTCCTTAGGTTTCCCAATGGTCGGCACGGTCTCTCCGCAGGTCGGCGAGGGCGGTGCCGTGGTCCCGCCGCGGTTCGCCGCCGACGGCCGGACGCCGCTCGCCATCATCGGTGGCACCGGCTACGTCGGACGGCTGCTCGCCCGCCGGCTGCTGGCGCACCCGACCTTCTGCCTCGGGCCGATTGTGGGCTCGCAGCGGTCAGAGGGCCTGCTGTACGAGGACGTGTGGCAGCAGAAAGAGGATGCGCTGGTGGCCAACTATGGCGACCAGCTCTGGACGCGACAGCCCTTCCCAGAGGCGCTGCGCGGCGTGCGCGTCTCGAGCCTCGACGAGCTGCTCGCCGACGAGGGCTGCCGGCTGGCGGTGTCGTGCGTGGCGCCGGATGTGGGCTACGTGGAGGACATCCTGACGTCCAACGGCTTCGCCGTCTTCTCCATCTCGCCATACAAGCGCTCGCACAACCTGATGGTGCTCGAGGTGAACCCGACCCAGATGCCGCGATCGATGGCGCAGGGCGCCGCGCTCTTCAAGTCGCCGAACTGCGTGTCCGTGGGGACGACGCTGGCGCTGCACGCGCTGCACGCCGCCTTCGGCCTGCGCGACGTCTCGGTATGCACGCTCCAGTCCCTCTCCGGCCGCGGCGACGCCCTCTACCCGCCCGAGCTCGTGCAGGGGAACGTGTACCCAATCTGGGGCACAAAAGAAAACACCGAGACGTACATCGCAAACGAGATCGCGGCGCTGGTGCCGACGGAGTCGCTCTCGGTGCGCGCGCACCGCGTGGGCGTGCACGTCGGCCACTTTGTCGACGTGCGCGTCCGCGTGAGGGACGCCGCCGCGCTGTCGAGCGTCGAGGAGGTCTACGCGGCGTTCGAGAAGTTTGCGCCGCTCTCTCACCTGCCCGAGGGTGCGCTGCCGTCGCTGCCGCCGCGGCCGCTGCACACGATGCGCGACGTGGGCACGCCGCGGCCGGCATCGCACTGCGGCACCCCAAAGCCCGGCCGCCCTCCCGCCGCGCGCGGCGAGTGGGGAGGGATGGCGGTGAGATGCAGCCGAGATGCGGCCGAGATGCGGCCGAGATGCGGCCGAGGAGTAGGCGAGGTGTAGGCGAGGTGTAGGCGAGGTGTAGGCGAGGTGTAGGCGAGTGGGTCGGGATGGCGGTGAGCGTCTGCACTGTGTCCGGCGGCGCTGGACCAGCTTCTCTCCCGAGGCGATGCGTGAGGGCGATGCCTCAGAGGGCGATGCTGCGGGCAGGTGAGCGTGGGCAACGTCAAGCTGGCCGACGGGGCGTGGGACATCTGCTTCTCGCTCGTCGTCAACAACATGGTTCGCGGCGCGTACGGCGCGGCGCTGCTCATGGCCGAGTACCACCAGTACCTCTCCGCCCGCCCCGACGAGCTCCTCCGTCTCGCCCGAGGGGCAGAGGCACCAGGGGCAGAGGCACCAGGGGCAGAGGCACCAGGGGCAGAGGCATCACACGCCGCGGGAGGCGGAGCCGCAGCCGCCGCCGCCGCCGCCGCCCGCGGCGACTCGCCCTCCCCGGCTGCGGCGGTGGCGCCGAGGGCGTGCGCGGTCACCAACCCGCTCACCAGCCGCTCGGACCTCGAGGCGGTCGCGGCGGAGTCGCCGGGCGACTTCCACGGCCGCGTCGGCGCCTCGCGGCTGCACTGGCTCGACGGGCAAAGCGGCGCGTGGCTCTCGCTCGACGAAGAGGCCGGGTCGTGGCGCGGGTGGGACGCGGCGAGCGGCGCGCCCGCCGCGCCGCGCGGGCCGGAGTGGAGGTTGGAGTTGGAAGCCGAGCTCGACGCGTCTCCACTCGAGGAGCCGCGGCTCGGAGACTTGTCGGAGCCTTGCGGTAGGCCGTGGAGCGCCGCGCTCGACGAGTCCGCCGCGCCGTGCTACGACTGGTTCGTGGGCGGCCGCACCTCTGCCGCCTTCAACGAGGTGGACCGGCACGTGCTGAGCGGCCACGGCAACCAGGCGGCGGCTGTCGCGTATGGCGTGGCCTGCTCTAGTCCGGCCGTGGGGGACTCGCGGATCAGTCAGCGGACTGGTGGACGGTGGCTGACTAGGCGTGCCGTCCTCAGACCGGACGACCGACCTCGAGCGCGCGCGCAAGTCGATCACCTACTCCGAGCTCCTCCTCCGCTCGACCGCCGCCGCGCGAGTCCTCCGGGACGTGGGCGTCGGGACCGGCGACCGGCTGGTGCTTCACCTGCCGAACGGGCTCGCGCAGCTCGTCTGGCTGCAGGCGGCGAAGCGGGTGGGCGCCGTCTACGCGTGCCTGCCGACCACGCTCTCGACCAAGGCGCCCCCGCAACACCGCGTCGCAAGAAGCTGCAGACGCCAGCGCGAGCCTTCCGCGAGCTTTCTAGGCGCTCGCGGACCGCGTGGCCGACCTCAAGGCGTCGCTCGTCATCACCGCCTCGTCACTCTCGCCCACCCTCGCCGGAGTCAAGCTCAAGGCCATCGCTTTGCGCGCCGTGTGCGATTACGTGCCGGCAGGCGCGGCGGCGAGCGCGGTGCGCGAGGAGTTGCCCGCGCTGTCAGCGGGCGAGGAGCTGCCCGTGGACGAGGTGCTCGGCGCGCTCGCCCACTCCCTCGCCCACGAGCGAGTCGTCGAGACGCGCGAGTTCGCCGCCCCAGATGCGAGACACGCACCCGTGTATTCGCGCTCGAGGGCACACGCACTGCAGCCGTTTTCACGGCCCCTGTCCGGGCCGCACGCAAGCACACGCGAGGCCCCGAGCACACTGCACGATCCGCTGGTCACGCCCCGACACTGGCGGGCTCCTACCTTAGGCTCGCCACCACCCTCGAGACGCTCCTCTCGATGCGCGCGAGCCTCCGCAGCCGCGCCGGCGCGCTGGCCGCCGCACTCGTCGACGCCGCCACCGCGCGCCACGCTGCCGCCCACCACACAACCGGCGGCCGGCCGCGCATCCTCGTCGTCTCGAGCGGGACCGCCGCCGGCGCCGCGTCTTCAGCCGCCTCGGCGGCCGCCTCGGCCGCGTCGGCCGCGTCGGCCGCGGCCACGCCGTGCGCCACTCCGCCGCGCGCCGACTCGGTCGGCGAGGCTCTCAACCAGCAGACGGAGCGGGGCCGCGGCGGCCTGCTGAGCGGCGTCTACCTGCCCGGAGAGCACCTGTACGAGGCGGCCGAGAGCGAGGCGCGGCTCCGCCCTCGGCTGACGCCGATGCGGGCCAGAGCAGCAGCCCTCAACCCGCCCTAACTCCCCCCCCCCCCCCCCCGGAAGAGAGGATCACAGCAATGCCTGGGGTCGCTCGAGATAACGAACTATGGATGAGCACGCTTTGTTTTCGTGTCGCGACTGGGACGTGAACCTCC